GGATGGTGACTCCATCACCGCTGTGTCTAATCACAGCTTCTGTGAAGAAATTCCTCCTAATGTCCAACCTAAACCTACCCTAGTGCAGCTTAAGACTACATCCTCTCATCCTGTCACCAGCTGTCTGGGAGAAGAGGCTGAACCCCACCTTGCTACAACCTCCTTTAAGGCAGTTGTAGAGATCAATAAGGTCCCTCCTCTTCTCCAGGTTAAACACCCCCAGCTCCCTCAGCCACTCCTCATAAGACTTGTGCTTGAGTCCCTTCACCAGCTTCATTGCCCTTCTTTGGACCTGCTCCAGCACCTCAACATCTTTCATAAATTAAGGGGCCCAGAACTGAACACAGTACTTGAGGTGCAACCTCACCAGTGCCATGATGGGTTCCTTCATTTTTAGCCTTTCTGAATAAACTTGAAAGAAGGCATCTGGTACGCATCTGGTATGTGTACATATATAAACTGTAATTACACTGTATAAGCTATGTATCTATTACAATATGCTTCATCATGATGATTACGATATGCTTCATCATAGCCAAAAGGCCAAGAAATGCTATGTTTATGGTCCTGAGATAGAATGTATGAGGGGATTTGCAGCTTTAGAAGAGAAACGTCATCTTTAATTGGGTTTAACACATATTAGCAATAATTTTCAGCAGGTCATATGGGGACCTCACTGCCCGGGTCCTTCCTGCGACACACACTGAGGTCTTCTCAGGTGAGGGGAAGAGGAGGGGCAGGCACTGATCTCTTCTCTCTGGCAACCAGTGACAGGACAAGAGGGAATGGCCTGAAGTTCTGTCAGGGGAGAGGTAAGTAAGATATTAGAAAATACCAGAGGGTGGCTGGGCACTGGAACAGGCTTCCCAGGGAAGTGGTCACAGCAGACAACACTCTCAGGCACATGGTGTGACTCTTGGGGTGTCCTGTGCAGGGCCAGGAGTTGGACTGGATGATCCCTGTGGGCCCCTTCCAACTTAGAACATTCTGTGATGTAGGGGAAGCTCATTGCGACTGCCGCTCCTTCTGATTTCCCTTTGTCCCACCTCGCCCCATGTCCTGCCCCGTTCCCCATGGGTGTGTTTCCCTGCGCGCTGCCCGTGCCGCCGTTCAGTTCAGCTGCTGGAGGCCATTTCAGAGGGGCCGGACTGTCGAAGAGCTTGGCGGCCGCTCCTTACTCACTCTTGGTTCCTGCCGGGATCGGCTCCAGCGGGAGCGTGAGCAGACCCGGACCCGACACGCCCGGCACCGAGCGGCCGCGGCGGAGGCGCCCCCTGGCGGCTGCCGCGGGCCCCGGCGGCAGGGGCGGGCGAGGCACCACCCCTTGCCCCGCTGGGAGAATCCATTGCCGGGGGGAGCTGAAACAGTGCGGAGTGGAAGATTTGCCGGGCATTGCCGCCCGGAGCACTCCAGGGACGGACGGCGGTCATCGCCGGCCGTGCCGCCTCGGCCGCCGCTGTGTAGCGCGCGGAGGTGCGGGCAGGCTCTTCAGGGTTGTCTCCTCCTCGGCCCGCCCCCCCTGAGCGGCGCGGTGGCGCAGCCCCGGGTCAGGCTGAGGCGCGGCGGCGCGAGGCGCTGTCAGAGCTGCTCTGCGAGTTCGGCCCAGCCCGCCCGGGGAGCGCCACCGCTGCCATGGAGCCCCATCGCTGGCTGCCCCTGGAGGCCAACCCCGACGTGAGTGCCCGGCATGAGCGGTGGGAGGGCTGCCCGCCCGACAGCCAGCCTGCTGTGCGAGGATAACGGAGGGCGGGAGGATGGCGAAGGGCAGAGATCTCGGGGCCGCGCCGGGCTCAGCATCGCCGCCTCAGGGATGTCAGGGAACGGGAGAGGTCTTAGCCCGTGGATCCAACTGGGGTCATAACGCGCTTTTGTTTTCTGCTTTCTTTTCAGGTCACGAATCAGGTAAGCAGCTTTTATCTGAGGTAACCTTTAGTGTCTCTGCAGCTTTGGGCCGTCTCGTCTCGTTTTGCTGTATTAAAGGCTCCTGCTTCTCCAGGGAGAGTGCCCCCTTCCTCATTTAACGCGTGTCCGCACTCAGTCGTCTCATGTTGGACCGTACTGGAACCTCTCACGTAAAGATACTATATGAAAAAAAAAAAAACAAAACCAAAAACCCAACAGTAAAAAGAGAATAGTTATGGCCTGGCTATTAACGTAATAAAATGTGTTTCAAGGTGGGTTTTAATTAATTATTGATTAAATGATTATTATATATTTATATATAATGTACCAGTTATGGACATGGACATGATGGTTTTGTGCTCGTGTAAGGACCTGCTTGCATCTCAGTCTCATTCTTCTTTGGATGACTATAAGAAATAATGTCACTTTACCATTTGCACTTTGCAGCTTATGCATGACCATATTTGCATGATTTATTGTTGCTGTTTTTGTCAGGGTGGTAGAACCCACACTAGAGAAAAGAAGCTTGTTCTAGTGCAGAAAACAATGCTCATGCTAAATAAACTCTGGCTGAAGGGAAATCACACATACTCCAGCCCTGCATCATGTCCTCAGTGATAATTCTGAGCGTCTTTAACAAGCATTGGAGGTCAGATGTTGATTTCAGCAGGCCTGTTGATAATGTTAAAGATGGTGTTTAAGCCAAAAGGCTCTGAAGCTTCCAGCGGTAAGATTACATTCTTAAAACTATATTGTTGAAATATTTTGGAAACTGGGAATTTTTGTGTGTGAAGAATGTCTTGTTTGGGGTTTTTTGTTGTGGCTGCTGTAACGTGCAACCTGCATCTGCAGGAGAGTAAAGGGTTATTTGATGCTGGGTGGTTTTGTACTTTGTAGTTTCTTAGGGCAAATAATTTTACAATTCTTACCGTATTGCTGCTGTGGAGCAGTTTGAGATGTTTGTAATCTCAGTTTCCTGAGTTAAAATTGACAGCCTTTCCTGGGAGCCCTTCCTGAACATGTGCTATTATTTCCTCATGTTACTTGTTTTTCTTTTTTTTTTTTTCTTTTTGAAATTCAGAGACTAAATTTCAGTTTGGAAGAAAATAAGTGTGAATAAATGACTAGTAGAATTTCAAATTCTCTAACTTCTTTTGACTTTCCAAATATTGAGATGAGCTCATCATGGTACAAATTAAGTAAAGTAGAAATTGAGGAAGAAAAACTAGTGACTGGTGCTTAAGCTGAAATATTTTATATCACTACGTGTTTGTTATATGGAGAAAATCCTAGAAGAATGTTAAATGAATACTTTTAAGTGTATTTAAAATCCATCTCTCGTGTTCATTGGCTCTGCATTGGTGATGGATGATATGTGTCACTTGTGGATGAATATGGATTATAGGAATTTGTACTCTACAAGTAATTACTTGTTAATATTTCTGTGTAGAAAAGGCCACTTGAGACCAGTTAGAATTCCTGAGCAGTCTTAACTGAGCAGGGGTTGTTATTATCTAGACTGAGTCACTGCCACTGGAAATCTTTAAAAAAAAAATGATGAGCATTGAACGTGAATACACCTTGCCTTATTAGTCATTGTTCCTTTTAATCTCATCATTTCAGTGATGAACTGTGTAGCAACCGGGCTGTTAGTCACAAGTTATTCATACCCTGCTTATGTTAAAACCAATAATAATAGTAATTCAAGATTCAAATGAAGTTGCAAACTTCTTTTTAGAAAATCCTGTTGAGTTAAGGGATATCTGCAAGGACAGACATTTTTTTGCAGTACTCTGTACTGTGCTCTGTAAAATATTCCAGAAGTCTTCAGGATTAAAAAAAAACAGTGGTGTGCCTCCACAAACTAAAATGACATGCTAGGTGTGGTAGTGAACTCTTAAAACAAAAATTTCAATGGCTTGTAAAATGCATGGATTCTGAAGTTTTGGACTGTAGTTAAAACTCTCATTACAATTTAACAAATGCTTAGGCTGTTTCGATTATTGTATCAATCATTCCCTTTTTTAATAGTAACTAGAAAAGAAGTGTACTAAATGCAGGTTCATTTGCTTTTAGTATATTCTTGCCATACTGTGTGCTCTCTAGTTTTGAAATATAAGTTGTAAATTTGAGGATTTCAGTCTTTGTGGTAGAAATTCAGCAATAATGGAGAAGAACCGGTATTTCTCAGTTATGGGGTGTGTGAAATCGTTCAAAAATATCTCAAAAGTTTTTCTATACCTGAAAGTGCTTATATTATAATGCAAGTCTAGGAATTTCCAAGTCCTTAGTGTATATACAACGTCTCTGTGCCTTTGCGCTAGAATTATTTAAAGCTTCAGAAACCGGCTGGTGAGGGTAAAGAGGAATATTCTTTCTTAGTTTTAAAGATTTCCAGTGGCAGTGACTCATTCAGAATACCACAGCTGTGTATTCGTAGTGATGTTTTTAAGGAAGAATGTACCACAGTTAAATGTGCCACACAGTGGTAACTGTAATGAGCGAAATCAGTAGTTAAATGTACCATACAGTGCTAAGGTAATTGTCACAGTACTTGTTTTTTTCTCCTTTGCTTCTTCAGTCTTGACAGAATGAATTGTTTTCCACCTCTGATACAGAATGAATTGATGATTCAGCATTTACAAAGCTCCACTTTGTGTACAGTGGTGACAGGGAATGGTTTCTTCTCTTTGACCTTCATCTGGGGGGCCTGCTGTGACCAGTGCTGCCCTTCTTCCTGAATCTCTTATGAGTTTTTCCCCACTAATGGGAGAGAGAAGGCAAGAAAACCATGTTTATCTGCCCACTGTTTACCCCATGATGCTTGTCTGTGTATCTTGTTCTCAATTTCTTCTACTACCCAAAGAAAACAAAGCAGACTACATGCAAATTTTTGAGTGAAAAGATCAAAACACAAGCTGATTGTTCTTCATCATGATGTTGCTTCAGTCTGGCTTGCAGCCCACAATTGATTGCCCAGCAAGTGTAAATAAACAAAAAAGTAGTATTGATGGATCTCTTTCTTGATCTCCTACCTTTTTTCATTCTCTCTTCCCTTTCTTCATTTCACATATTCTAAGAAATTTCCTTACTTCCTGGATAAGGTACCATTTCAACTCCCATCATCATTAAATCCAGATAAGGGTAGAGTAATTGACTGCATCTGTTGAGTGCTAAAGCAGTGGCTTCAGGTAGCTCAAAGGTAAACTGTTGAGAGTTGGCTGTGGCTTGGGTTTCTCTTGCCCCATAGGGCCAGAACTTCCTGGTTCTTAGTTACCTTCCAGCATTATTTTCAGGCCTTTGATCCTGCTTTTTGGGGTTGGTTTTTTTTGGTTGGTTGGTTGGTTGGTTGGTTTTTTTAAGCCATTAAGGTATTGAGAGTCAGCTACATAAAGAGATTTATTTTAGCCCATGAGCACCCTTGACAACTGTGACTTTAAAGTTACAGGGCAATAAAGATCTCAAACATAGAACAACTGGCAGAAACTGGATGCAGCCAGTCTTCGACCATTTATGGAACACATATCTTCAGGGTGTTAGGCAAATACAGAGATGGATTAAGTATTAATTACCTTGGAAACAGTATCTTCCTAAGGTCTTTCCATTTTCTGAACTCTGAAACACTATCCCACAAGCTTTGCCAAAGGAAAGCTATCCTGATCAAACTAATTGAAAAGACAGTGCTTATGGTTTCTTGAAGTGTGTTGGGAACTAGTACTCACAGATGTTCACTCCAACTCATACTGTGTTGGAGTGAAAGGATGTCAGAAATGGAGAAACACAGATGTCCTTCTGAAAATGCTTAGCTAAACTTACTTTTTTTTTTCAGGTGAGAGAGTGGAGTTTAACTCTTGTGGTAAGCAGAATGAAAACAGTGGAGATAGCATGTATCTCCACTTGGAAAACAGCCTGTTATTATGGGTGTAGACTGAGAAAGTGGAAAACTAGGACTGTGTGTGTGTCTTTCTGTAAAGACAGCACCTCAGAAAGCCTTCCACAGAGCCATCAAAGGGGGAGTGCTGGGGCTGTGGCACAGCATAGCAAAGACAAGGCCAAATATGAAGGGATTGTAGATGTCCACTGGGAGAGCACGTCATAAATGGCTTCTAGTTTAAGATACCTCCAGCTATGTAGCTGTCTTACCTTTAAATAGGTAGATATTTTGCAAAGAGAAAATTGTAATTTGTTTTGGGTATTTATATGGATAGTTGAAAGATTGACTTAGATCTCTGTGTGTTTTTCATCAAATGAAAGCAAAGAAAACCATATCTTTAATTTCTCTATTTGTACTTGCCTCTTCTGGCCTTTTTTGCTCAGTTTCTTAGTTCTTGTAACAAGGAAACCCTTACTGTCTTGAAGACAGAATGGGGTGCTACAGAGTGGAGAACAGGTGACAGTGGTTCATGTCATACGTTATCTTGTTGCACTGAAAATGCTATTCTCCACTTCCACATTTTCCTTTCTTAAAGGACCAGCAGAATCAGTAGAATCCAATTATTGTTATAGTAGAACTGTAAAAAAGAAATACGTATAACAGCTTATTTAGAAGAGTGGATTTATCCAGCTCATCCCTGTTATGAATGACTTTTTAGATCATGGAAACAGGTCTCTTAAGTATAACAGGGTATCCTGTTTTGAACCAGTGTCTCAGTAGCTGCATCTCAGGACTTTGCTGGAAGCATTCTAAAGCTCTTGCTTGCTGGGATGGTTTCAAAAGAAGCCTGGGTCAGCTGGTTAGTCCAGTTTTGTGCGTGCTTTGCATTGCTGCTTCTGGGATGCCTGGGGCCAATATATACGGCTTTGCCTGGGCATACTGAGTATTCAGTTTCCAAACTACTCCATGGATATATTAAAAATATATACCTCTCATTGTGAAGAACAGGAACACTAACTATAAGTCAGTGCTGCTCTTTTAGACACCCTAAAGAAATAAACACAAGTGGAAGGATAAGAATTTTGTGGGTGTATGTTTTCTCACATTTTTGATCATGTTGATGTTGAAAATGTTCTTTCTCCCTCCTTCATTGCAAAATTTGGAAAACGAATTTGTCATGATGATAAATGGGCTGTATTCTCTGAACTTTATTATGAGGTCCTGAAATAGAGAGCTTGAGGATATTAAAGAATTTATAATAGATCTTGAATGTCCCAAGGAAGTCTGTTATAATGGAGCATCCCTTGTTTGAGCAAGATCATAATGGGGCCATCCTAAGTGAGAAGTAGGTGGTAAAGGAGAGTAATGCACCTCATGTAAGTTCCATCTATCTCTTTGTTCCTGGTATGCCTTTTGACCTGCTGTACGGAACTAAAGTTTCTACAGCTCCTGCCTACTGATGTGACATGCCTTCTCTGAGATTTATTGAAAAATGATTCCTTTGTTTTAATTCCATAAATGTTAAAAGAATGAAGAAATATATCCTTATAATGCCCTAACAATAAAATATTATTTGTGTGGTTCCTTTATTTTTAGAAAGGAATTTCACTTCTGAAACAGACCTGGTTTTGTTATATGCCTCTAGGAATGATGTATAAAGAATTGAAAGCAAAATATTGTGCATTTATATTTTTAATATAGATTAGTTTAATAAGAATTGGATACTTTAAAGGATGAATAATTTTCTTGATGATAATCTCATCAGTTATATTTTACAGCGATGCTTTAATCCACTGAGTAGAAGTACAATAAATTGTAGACTTCGTTTGTGTCTTGGTTGACATTTGTGCTTAGAAGAGGATTACAACAGTTGGTTCTTCCTGCAGAAGCTCTTTGACTTTGGCATCTGAGTGTCTGGAAATGTTTGTGTGTTTTGCCAGTTTTATGTTTTCACAGTTCCAACTTGTATACAAACACCTCACTAAAATATGGAAAACTCAAAGTCTTCGGTATAATGCCTTAGTATTTAGAATGTGACTATCTTGAAATATTTGCAGATGCTGTCCAAATTTAATTGCACTTAAATTTCAAGGTCCTATTTTGTTTCAGTTTTTGTCTTCACTGTTTTTACATGCATGTGACAAAGTAGAAAAGCCCGTTGCTACTTCAGACCATATTTAAATTGCGCATTTACTACAGAAGTTTTCTGTTAAAATAAATTGCACCTTTACGTTGCCTTACCCCACTTACCCTTTCCGCATCTCCATCAATCCCACAGATCAAATCTTCTTGCTGTCTCTGTAATTGTGTTGGCAGAAGTAGTATTCTTAACGGCTGAAGCCACGTCACCTGGATTGCCTTTGTCCACTGCATTTCCATTCTTGTTTTGAGGATCCTTAAATAATAAGCACGATCACTTTTCCTGTTTTTTAAATTAAATAAATCTCATGAACCTAAACGGTAGCCGGTGTGCCTCAGAACAGAATAATGTATTAAAGATAACTGCTCTGTGTTTCTTTCAATGCTTAACATCTGGTAGGTTAAAGTAGTGGTACCAACAATGAAAACAGTATAGGTTATACCACATGCTGCATAGGGAACATGTCTGAATGTTCTTACTGTAGTGTTTTTGCTATTAACCAACATTTAGACATACAGATTTACAGTTTGTTATCATTTAGAACAGAATGAGGTAGGCTGGAAGGGACCTTTTGAGTTTTTCAGACCAGCCATGCTCTGTTCAAAACAGATTCTCAGCAGCCCGTCAAGTTCGGAATTTCTCAAAAGACAGGGACTCCTCAGCCTCCTGGGCAGTCTGTGCTAGTGTTTTGCCATGGTTGTTATTTTTAAAATTTATTTTTAAATGCCTTCCTTATCGAGTTCGAATTTGCCTGTGTTTCAACCTGTGTTTTCTCATTGTTTTACTGTGTGCTGCTGAGATGATTCTGCCTCCATCTTCTCTGCACTCTCCCTTAGCTAGTTAAAAACAGCAATAATCAAGTGAGAAAGAAGGGCCTTCTGTGGGAAATGAGAAATTCATAGTAAGTGCAGATAAGGGGTGCGGGTGTGTATGTAAAGTAATTTCAAAAGTGGCTTTTTGATAATGGTTAGCTGGAGCAGTGAAAAACCGGGAAATGTTTTTCAGGAAGGTATTTTAAAACAACAAAAGAGACAACCAAAAATATGATAACAATCAGTAAAAGAAAGTTCTGAAACAGTTAATACTAGATACAGATGTGGGGGGGGGTGGGGTGGTGGTGGTGTTCCTAATCTCCTGTAAGACTTCTGTAATATATCCAAGTTTTTTTTTCTTTTCTAAGGTAAAAGCTCGAAGACTATAAATCAGCAGTGTGATAAGCAGTGTCTGTGAAAGAGAATCTGATACTCTCTTGTGCAGATCTAGGGCTGCTATTTTATGTTATGTTGAGTTCGTAGTATCATTAAGTTAAGAGAAGGTAAGCAGCGGAAAGTGAGGGAGCCCTTGAAGTACCCTAAGTGTTCCTTCCAGTAGAATAAAATTGTTTGGGTAGTCACTGAGTAATTGGAACACAAAGCAGCACAGGTCTCTCCCTATAAGTGACACTGTCTAAAAAGCATACAGAGCTGTCTGCTGTCCTTTAACAGGAATGGTTTTGTCAGTGGGGAAGGGGTACTTCACCCCTGTTGCCTTACTGACTCCTTTTTGTACCAAAATCTTTGTCTGGCCTAGGAAAGAGCCAGAAAATGACTGAGGGAGGGGAAAATACAGAAGTTTAATGTAGGTGTTAGTGTAACTTATTAAAATTCAAGTTGTTGCTGGTGACATTTATTTTTCTGACTTTCCTGTGTCACAACTAATACTGATTTTTGTCCCACTAGAGAACTTTACCTGGTTCCTAACAACTTGGTTTTATTCCTACAAAATTTCTTTTCCCTGTCCTTGCTAAATACAGTCTTGCCTTTTTTTTAGCCCAGTTGCCAAAGATTACATACCTGACTGTCACTGACTGAACTCCATCTTTTTCTTTGCATGTATCCACGTTAAAAATTAGTTCCATATATTTGTTTTAAGGATGCCTGCCATCTGTTGCTCAAATCTTACCCAAATGTCAGTCTCTTACACAGGGGCTCATGCTGCACAGTTTTTAATATCTACTTAATTTTTAGAAGGATATTTTAATCCTTTTTTTTTTATTATTTTTTCCAAGCCTGAACAAAACCCTCTTGATACACAGAGAGATATCTTCTTTGCCTATTTTGGGTGTGCTTAGTATTTTATTTTTGTTTTATGGTTCTACAATAAAGTTGTTAGGCAGATTGAGTGTTAAGATCACTGCTTGTCAGACTAAGCCTGTGCTCTTGCTGTTCCTCTGTAGTGCTGACCATCGTTTCTTGTCATCACTCTCATTGCTTACTAGAAGTTACAATTTCTTGGATTGTAAAGTTTCTACGCAGTATTGTAGCAAGAGTAATAGAAGGTGCCCTATATCTGTGGAGTTCTAATTATGTTAAATACTTAATTCAGGAGTTTGTAATGCTTTAATGCTTTAGTAAATAGTGCTGTGAGTGTTCCCACTTCCCTTTCATAAAGGCTATTAAAATGCATAAAACATGGGGATTTTGTGTGTCTTTGGTAGCACTATGATTTATTCAGCCTTATTTCTTAAAACTTGAATCTTATTTATTCTCCTTAAATTTTGGAAAGTATGACTTGTTGCAATGTATTTCACATTGTAAATACTCTGTTATGCTTCTGAAAAGATAGTATATGAACGTACTCATTTAATGTTATACTATTTTTTTTATTTTCCAGTTCCTCAAACAGTTGGGTATACATCCTGACTGGCAATTTGTAGATGTTTATGGTATGGAACCAGAGCTGCTTAGCATGGTGCCAAGACCTGTATGCGCAGTGCTACTTCTCTTTCCAATAACAGAAAAGGTAAATGTTTATTTAATAACCAGTTAATTGCTTTGGTTGTAAATGAAATGGGGATCAGCAGTTTGAATCTTGTACTTTGGTACCATAATAGATTCAAGGTGAGACTGAAGCCTTATTCAAGAGACTTCTTAATTAAAAATAACACAATAAAATGCTTCCTTCAGAACCTTCTTTTGATAACTTGCAAGTATATTGCAAATTTCTTTTCAAATTTGAATGGGAAAAGCTAACGTAGAAGCAGAGAGGAATATCTCACATTTTTCTATTACACACAATTTAAGGCATTTTTTTTTAATATGCACTGTGAAATGGCTCAATTCTGCTATTTTTAGCAGAAAGCTACAATAGCAAAGGCAAAATAAGAAGTAGAGTGGAGGACTCTATCAAGTGCAACTCCTTTTTGAGTTTTCATCCTGTTGCACTGACCAAACTTCCATTCACTTTCAGTTCAGTCATCAGTATTGATATGGCTTTTGCTTCATGGACAGATGGGGTGTATTTCTAAGATGAAAGACAATTTCCACCCCTTCTTTCTCTATGTTAGACTTTGGAGCACTTGATTTGGTTAAACATTCAAGTCTGGTTCTTTTTCTGTCATCACGTGTGTCTACATGGTGTTATTCATAGTGATCTTTCAATTTATAAAAATCTTACGTGATTGTGATAAGGTCAGCCAAAAAGCTTGAAGTGAGTTTGCCCAAACTTCATTCTTTTAATATGTCCCTCAAAAAGAACACGTGGTTTGTGAGGACAAACCACTTGGCTATTAAAGCTTAACTTCTACAACAAAATGTGTTTAAATACAGAGAAGAGTGACAGGTCAGTCTTTTTACGCATTAAACCCTGTAAACCTCTGCATTCTCAGTTTCTCCAAAACAGCTATGCAGGCAGTCCGTTTCAAGCTTTATTTTGGCCACCTTGATAGTTTTGAACTTAAGCAAGCTCTTCACTCGTCTTCAGGAAATGTCCTCTCTGTCACCTTTGAGGCATTGTTATCTGTGTGCTGTAGTTTGTGCCTGGCTGCTCAAGCTACAGATCTGAGCTTCTTCTGTGACTGTCACTTTTGTTTTGCCTCCCTACTTTTGTAAACCACCTTTTTTTGGACCATGTTATGGGAGCACTATCTAGTGGAAAGAACAACCTTCCTCTTGTTCCAGAAGGTGTATCCAGTTTCATCCTGAAGAAGCATATGACAAAGAAAATCAGAGAAAAAAACATATGCTCTGTTGCATCAATCAATCAAATTTGTCCACCAGCCAAATATTCAGCATGTTAATCCTTCTGAAACATAAGGGACACAAGTGTTTCTGTCAACTGTTTTTAGCCTGAGTGCATGAAGGCTGACTCTTTCGTGTGAAGTCCCAGTGTTCTGAACCTTTTGTTGTTCTGTGTGAACTCCACAAGACCCTTCAGCATTATTTTGTATTTCTGGAGTAATTTCTACTCCTCAACCTCCCTTTCAGAATGGCCTGTAATATTATGTTTTTACTTAATTTATTATTTGTTTCTGTTTCTTGGCTGTGTCTATGTTTATGAAAGTGTGCCTCTTAATTAATTTTGCTGCCTTTGCAAACACTTCTCTAACATGTCTGTTCTTCTGTCTGAAGTTCCATTTTTTCATGTTTGCTATATATCAATTTTCTTTAACTTGCTTTTAGGGCAAGATACTCTTGTTGTCATACAGGTAATTTTAGGGTTGTTGTCCAGTTTAAAATTCAATGGCTTTCTTAGTCTGCATTGTGGGTTGTGGATAAAGTGAATACTGTGAGTGTTGGCTGTATTGGACATGGTCTGATGAATAGGATAGCTCAGGTTAGGAGGTGATCTGGTCTATGCCTTGCTCAAAATTGTATTTTTGGTGTTCTCAGCATTTATGTATTTATTTTTTGCCCTGGAGTTTGTTTTGGTTGGCAGGGAATGAATGGCAGCTATATTGTTTACCTTCTCTACTCTGACCTTTTTGTCCAATTAAGCTCTATGAAATTTTTATCTCAATTGAGATTATTTTTTGTTAACTTGTAGATAAGTGGTGCCAAATTAAAATGCTTTGTAATTCTCTTGATATTAGTTAGATTATGAAGAACATTCAGACAAGATGCAAGTGTGGAATAAGATGCTGGAAAAATTTCTTGGGTTTTTTTGTCACTGACGGTACATAGAGTCTGAGGGAAATTTCTCATGAGTTTTCTGGAAGAGTTCCTTGATAACCTTCTGCATTCATACGTTGCTTTTGTCACATTTGTATAAAAAGCCCATCTATTTCAATTTTTTTTGTCTGCAAAAGTACCTAGTAAAAGAGGCAAAGGAGGAAGCATTGTCTGGAACATTTGCGGACTTCTTTCTTTCTTTTTCTGTTTGAAATTAAAATCTTAAAAAAACAACCAAACAAAAATAAAACAAAGAAACAAATCCAACCAAAGAAAACCCCTCAACGCTCCCCCTAAAGGACCAACAAACCACAGACAACAAAAAAACTCCAAAAAACAACACACTATTGGGCAGTATAACAGATTTTAGTCAATTATTATCTGTATAAAACAAGTACTGAACAAGATCATTCAGTCAAACTAAATTCATTTTTACTACAGAAAATATTTTTTTTATGAATATGGCTTTTGAAGGGCCTGTTTTAGGGCCCTGTAAAATATATATATATGTGTTTATATAAATCTTATTTTATATTCCTGGGAAAAATGAAATGTAACAATGGAACTTTTAAGAATGGTTAATCACCTGAAATGTTACGGTTTTCTTGAAAGCACTTTGAGCCCTGTGTCCTTAAAAAGCCTTTTGTTGAATTGAATCAGAGAGATGATGATGGGTGCTGAGATCAAGGAAATAATTTAAATATTTTTGAAGTTATGTCAGATAACACATAATTAAAAATGATGTTTCAAGTGTGACAGTATTTTGGTTAGTGTCAAGGCATTGGTTTAAGAAACAATATAGAGCTGTTCAGGGGAGTAAGTTTACATACACCTGTTGGACCACCCACGTTAAATGTTTCAAATTACAATATTAGTTAGGTGTTGCTTTTTATAAATTATTTTTGCTTGATAACGTAGCTATTTGTACTATTTGTGAAATGTCTTCAACTGTCTTTATAGTATGAAACCTTCAGAACAGAAGAAGAAGAGAGAATAAAAGCTAAGGGGCAAGACGTGAAATCATCCGTGTATTTCATGAAGCAGACCATTAACAATGCTTGTGGAACAATTGGGCTAATTCATGCTATTGCAAACAACAGAGATAAAATGAACTTTGGTAAGTTTTTTTGGTTGGGTTTTTTGTTGGCTTTTCCCCTTTTTTCGTTACAGGAAAGGGATACATTTTGTAGAGGAAGGATACGTTTTGTACTGTTTTCCCTGAATATAACCATTCATAAATTATGAACTCTGTTCAAAGTGCATTTCTACCTATAATTACAAAACCAGTATTTTATACTAATTCACAACTAAAGCACTTGAAACATTGCAAACTGCAGCAGGTAGCAGTTCCTCTTGCAGTCAGCCTTCAGGGTCTTTAAGATATAGTGTAATTGTATCTTCAGAACTTTTGTTGGATTCTGTAAGCTTTGAATGAAGTTGGAATTAAAACACGACACTAATAATTTTTTGGTTTTTTTTAAGAAACTAACTCTTCACTGAAGAAATTCCTAGAAGATTCATTATCTATGACTCCTGAAGAGAGGGCCAAATATCTAGAAACTTACGAAGTTAGTATATGTTTTTACTTTTATTTAAAATGGTATAAGAATTACTTGCATGAGCAGGTACTGTCCATAGGACTTGACTCAGTGAAGCACCTAAACAGTTTGGTTTTACAATGAGCTTGTGATCAGACAGTTGCTACAAAGAAAACTATGCTTTGGTATTTTAGAGTATTCCTTGCTGCCCATAGCTCAGTCAGCAGAATGGATTTTGTCAATGTTCCTCATCCATATTAATTCACTGGCTTAGTTTAAAATTACTTTGAAATGCATGAGAAATGCATGCATAATCTTCTTTTTTTGTGTGTTCAGGATGCAGTTTAATGGTCAACTTAAGCTGATTTGGTGCTATTGCTAAAAGGATGGTCCTTCTGCTTTCTCTTTTCATTTGTGCCTTCTAGTCATATCTCCCTGGTTTTAGCAGTTGAGGCACACAAAAGAACTGATTTGGCTGAAATATAATCTCCTTCCCCCAGGACCCCAGACAATGAGATGAGCTAGCTAGTAAAGTGGTTAGCCTCATCATTAGTGCTGTTCAAAAGGATGTGACAGAAACATCTGGCCAGTGGTGAAAGGAGAACAGCATGGTTGCTCCTGATGGTAATGATGATCCTCTGTAAAAATGAAAACCTTGATGATTTCTAAATCTGAGTTCAATTTAAGCTTATTGTGAAGCCCCCAGGAATATGAGTATTAACATGTAGTTCAAGGAAGTAGTAACAAACAGAAACAGCATAGGTTTGATGACATTTTCTATAGAAATATACAAAATACCTGATCAGAGCTTCTATCTAAATTATTTTGTCTGCTCGGGAAGTGATGGAAAACAAAAACACTTGCTTGTAGTGTTTTCTTTGTGTAAAAGTGTGGTTTCAAACTGTCAGATATTTGATCTGAATTGATTGTAATGAAACTGAAATATTGGTCTTCTAAGATCCTTGGATGTGGAGATTATTTGTTTATTATCTTATTTCTTTATTACAAGCACTGAACAAAAATAGTTACATCTATGGCATTTGAGATAACAAAGAGCATAAGTAGATCTTAAAACATTGGAAGTCTCTCATTTTAAGGTCTGATTGAAATATGTTTTAATTTTAGGCTATTCGTGTCACTCATGAATCCAGTGCCCATGAAGGTCAGACTGAGGTATTCATTTTTTAAAAAAGTCTTTGTTAATAAATACTTTGAGTTTAATATAATTGACATAAGAACAATAATATATTAAAGATTTACAATGAAATTGAGATTATTGCTTGGTTTGCAATATTGTGTCATGAGTCCAAGATCAGGGCACAAAGTGGCATTGCTGGGGGGAAAACCAAAATTGAAGCTTGGGGTTTTATATTTGTTTGGTTTGGGGTTTTGTTGTTATTTGTTTGCATTCAGTTTTTTAGCTCTTATGTAACATGGAAGATCTTTTCAAGCTTCATTTCAGAGTAAAACAGACAGTAATACTATTTTTAATGAAAGTTAAGGTTTTGATGTTGCAAATTTGTAGGAAAGACTGTAAGATTTGTAGTACATCACACAAATGGAACAAACATTTTATGAGAGTTTGAAAAGTTTTACTTCAGGAAAAAAAATAGTGCAATACTTGGTTTGCGATCGTCTGTGTGCTATTCGTATACAATACAAATTCAGATAAATTCTCACTAATGTGTATATTTATTAGCACTTATGCCCCAACAGATTGTGTGATATGGAAAGTAACCTAAAAGCTGACAAAAAAACCTTAAAATCAACATAAACTTGAACATTCAGCATTTTCCTGCTTCAGTTATATTAAGTCTATTTTCCATATTTCCTGTTCAGCTTTCAGTGTCTGCTCCACAGGAAAAAAAAAGATTAGATTGTTGCTAACACTGCTTCAACAAAACCCTTCTATGTTGGGCTGTGACTCCAACGACTCATCCATTCTCTCTTTTTGTAGTACAGTAGGTGAGGTTTTCTTTCTCTTGTGCAGTGTCTTCTAGACAACGCAGGAGAAAGCAAAGCAGTTCTTTCTGCTCCCCCTTACCTTGTTGGGAAATGAAAATTAAGAGAATTGTTTTACCTATTTCTGTTTAGACAGTCAACTTCCATTGTGGTATTTTCTTTTAAAAACCACACCACTCTTGCTTCTTCTCTCTTCCTCTTAATTAATCAAGATTCAATATTTCAAGAAGAATCATCAGAACAAATTTGTATTTCTCTTCCTTTACTAAGTTAGACACTCAAATCTGGTCTGTTTTTTTAATAAATGAGTCTTTTCTAGATATTCTTTGCAAACTCAGTGTGAGAGATTATTCCAACAAATTGATGAAGACAGAATCTTTTCCTAAGACCCTTGTAAAAGAGAAACTTCTTTAGTTGTTTTGATGTACTGTGACATTCATTCAGGGAATGGTCTGTCTGTGCAATCTTCTGGCAGATATTATGGAATGATTGGGAAAGAAAATGCAAAGGTGCTGTGCTTCTGAGAGTCTTCTTGAAGGTTCAGGAAACATCTTAAGTGATGGTGGAATCTCTTGACAAGGGACAGTTAACTTCTTGAACTGCTACTAATTAATTTGTTTCCTGGTCAAGATAACCACATTACAAAAGATTAATAATTGTGTGAAAAGATGAAGACTTTTTTTCATAATAGAAATTGACAAGATTTTTCTTAGCAATTATGTCTAAACACAAATATTAAATAGGTAGTTCCCTTGCCAAGTATTTATTATTAAATTTTGTATAACTGTATCTGGAAATAGTTCAATATGGATATTCCTTGGACTAGTGAAATAGATTTTTCCTATCTTTTTGTTTTCAAAGTTGGAATAGTACAAAGGCTGAATACATTTCCTAGGACCATTATTTTGGAATAGTTCTAGTCCATCAAACAAGGAGGGAAGAAATAAACAAGTTGTCTTATTGCAATATCTAAAGTGCTTAGAAATCCTGTCCTACCTACAGTAGTTAAACGGGCAGCAAGGCCTCTCCTGTTGTCTGTACCTGAGGAATTGTTTTACTTTAAAGTACTATTCTTCTTAAGCAAAACAAAATATGAAACATGAATATGCTGAGAATTATAGTTAAGAGTTGGAATGAGTTAATCTCCTAGCCTTTTCCCTTCCACTGGTACATTTTAAATGTCACTGTATAGCTCTTCATGTAGTGGTTGAAGGGACTGATGAACAGCATGACCTTGAAGATGCTGAAGTTACCATATACAGGTCATATGAGGTTGTTGACTTGTCCTGTGGGGTAAGTTGGTGATTTCTTGCACCTTTGGATCAAGAAAGAAGAGAATCCCCTTCCTCCTGCATTATGCATCAGAATCTTTCCTTTGAGTAAAGTGGCTTATTTAGTTGCTTAATGATAGTACGTGCTGTAGCTCTGTGACCAGAAAGTTCTTTCTAGATCTTCTACAGATTTAAAGATTATGAAAACATGCAAGCCTGCTTTTTCTTTGGATGATTAACCTGGCTTGCTTGCTTTGTTAGAATAGTCTGCTCTGTGGGTAGTTCTGTCCCTTAGATAGGTATTGCATTCTAGTGTTCACTCAAATTCTTCTGAAAGTGTTCCTGAGGCTTAACTGTATTAGACAGAGTGACTTCCAAAAGTGGGATATATGACTGATATGGTTAGGAAGCTTTGCAACTGCTTTCAAGATTCTTTTGTTTCCTTCTACCATGCAAAATGCAGCATAACACCACTGAGATAAAAGTAAAAATTTTGAAGGTTTAAAAATAGCACAGACTACAGACAGGTTCTCTTCTGATAATCCTGTTTGATTGGGGTTGTTTTAGTGGGTTCTGAAGTCTCAGATGTTTGAGGATTCAGCCTTTAATGCTTCTGAGTAAAGCTGTTATTTGTTGATTGGTCCTGACAAGTCTTGCTAAGTCTTCACAAGGGTTTTTTTTATAATCTCAGTGAGTACTTAGTTTTTACAATACGCTAATGGATTTTCTGGTTTTGTTTATGTTTCATGTATGTGAATGTTTCAAACCTCAAAATAAAGCAAGTCTAGCTAGAAATAAAAATTAGAAGTAATAGAATACAGCAATGCTGTCTTTCTAGTATCTGTGGATTCACTCATCTTGTCTGGCGAGTAGGATTTTTTTCTCTTTTAGGGTTATCTGTAATGAGATTTCTTTTTCCTAAATTCCATATGTTTTGAAGAAGAGTTCTCTTTGGGTAAAAAAACCACATTTGGCAAGATACTACTTGTATACTACTATAATCTTAATGGACTTCTAGATTCCAGTTCGTAATTGCTGAAAGAGAAGAGTTATGATGGTCAGTTTGTTTCTGGGATGTATCATCTTTGTGTGATCTATTCGGATGAAGCATTAAGATGAATCACTAAGCAACTGGATTAAAAGTGAAAGCTATAGAATGTTCTGCCTTGATGGGTGCTTTAACAGGCTTCCCAAGTTTGATATCTGTGATTAATTTGTCTGAAAAAAAAAATGGCTGTGTTTCTATCTGTTTTCTCTGACTTTCAGTGTTGCATTTAAAACATTTACAGGCCATCTACAAACTGAATTAGAACTGGGTATCCTCTGGGGAGGTTTTTTGTATTGGTTTTTTAATGAAGTTTACTGAATTTTTATTAAACTACTTAAATATTTTCTTAAAAATAGAGATTTCTTTTTTTTTTTTTCTTTCAAGGAGATTAAACTTTAAGAACTATTTTTGCTAATTCATTTCAAGTTTGCAAATTAAAGGGATTATAAATTTGGACTTACCCTTCAGGCCAGGTTTTGGACCAGGTTCTGTGGCTCCATGTCTCACTTCATTGCTGTAGAGCAATAGGTGAAGCAGTCTTATGGGTGCTTCTATGTTAAAAAATGTAGGTCTGTTTAAAATTACTTTGGTAGCAAAGCAGTAAGATCTGGCAATGGTTCCACAGGAAAGTGTCATGTTGACTTCAAGGGTGGCTTGATTCTGATCATGTGTTCAAGTACCATAATGAGGGCAATTAATGTAAGACTCCTGTAACAGTCATTCTGTTTAACTTTATGCTACTGAAGCTTACACTTTCTCAAGTGACAGGTATCTCATATCCAGAGCTGCCAAAAAAAGGATCTAGGTGTTCACCATAAAGCCTCATAGATGCAGCTCACTCTTTTCTATGTGATAGCTCCTGAAAGGCAGGTATTGCTGAGACTAGAGCATGTGCCAGCTACCCAAGATCCTCTTTATTCTTCCATCAGTCTTCTGCTGAGCATATACTTCTGTTTGTAATATCTAGGATGTCTGAAGATGTGAAAAATAGAACCTGTTTCTTTGGAGAACTGCACACACTTTTAAGCTGATCCTTATTGCTTTATGCTGAGCGGTGTTAGGGTTTTCCCATTTGTTTATTTTGCTTCTTTTTTTTCTTCTTGTTCTTCCTATGCCTCCTTCAGTGGTTCATGAGCTGCTGAAACCCTGTACTGCCACAAAGCTTAGCATTTCTTTTACCCTCTTACAAAAATAGGAAAACACACCCCCCTTGAAAAATCGCAACCCTTCAAAAATATTAAAATGCTGTACAGTTTGTGGATCTGCATTAGCCATCTAATTAACAGTGATCAGTAATGACTAAGTTATTTGAGGGAGGAAAAGTAGCAATCTATGGAAGTGATCAGGGTTAGGTTCATATCTATCTTTTTTTTTTGTATTATTATCTTGGCTTCCCTTCATAACAAAATAGTAACTATTTTCACATAACTATCAGAAAATCTGAGGGGAAAATTTTTTGAAAATGGGAAAGCATGTTATTACACGAGAGTGACATCCAGGTCTAGAGTCTTTTGCAGAGCAAATAGCCTTCTGAATTTTGAGTTGGGAAAGAAATTTATTTTGTATTCTACCTGCTCATTTGCATTAAGAATATAAAGTTATGGTATAGTTTCCTGTGAGAGCATAGGAAAGGAGGAAAATGCAAATTGGTTAGCTCAGTTAAACAATGATATGCTATGATTGCTTGAGGGAAGTTATTCCAGGTAGAAGATATTATCTGTGTTGATTCCTGAAATAAAGGACCTTTTTAATATGTATGTAGAAGATACTTTTGTTTTGCTGTCTTTCTACTGGCATCAATATCCAGTACTTTTGCAGCCGTGCTTCATTACAGCTTAATCCTATAGTAAGGAAAATGGCAAGCTTTGCCACATAAAGTTCTTTTTAAAAGA